CATTAACAAAGAGATGGTAAACATCAATTTTAATGCACTGAAGATACACCAGAAAGCTTAACAAACGATTCCCTACTAACAGGATCTACAGCAGTTTAGGCTTGGTGCTGGGCACAGCTGGGGAGAGAAATGTGACTACATCCTCCCTCCCTGCCATCACTTCCCCACCACTCTAAGGTCAACACCCCTCCCAAATGGACTTAAAATATTTAGGTCTGAGGTTTAGCTGGGTGAGATGTGAGTCACACCCACGATGTTCAGAAGCTGTCTGAAAAGCCAAAAAAAAAAAAAAAATTTCAGCTTTCACTTGTGATATAGCTCTCCAAAGAGAGGCATGTCTGCCGCTCAGTTCAGGGCCAGACTGCCTCAAAATGGTTTCCTTTTGCTACAGTGCCAACTACTCTTTCATGTCTTCGCTATCATGCCTGAAACTCGCTGATGCAGAAAGCTCCAGGTGAAATCCTGATGAAGTTAACGGTTCCATCCAGGCCCTCCATCAAGGATTTATGTTCATTGGATGTTGCCTCAGCTACAACACAAAATTCATAACTCAGCCTTGCTCAACATTTCAGTTTCTTTTGGCACAGGCATTGGAAATGACAACTTGGCAGTGAAGCCCTGGATTTTGAAGGGTCTTTAATTCAGAGAATAACAAACGTCAAGAACTCAAATTCAAGCAGGATCCTCAGAGCATCAGGACTGCTGGAAGGCAGCGCTACCGTCTAGCGGTTCCAGTCATGAGTAGGCACTAATATGCAGAACTACCTCATCACCTACGAGCGTAAGAAGAGCTCCACAGTAATCAAAACCAATCCTTGCTCTAAGGTTTTGCAGCAGCGGGCTTGACATTAAAGTGCTGATGGGGAAATACTTCAGGAACAAAACCAGGCAGGAATGACATGGCTTACAGATGCATGACTACAGCGTTACTCATTCGAGATGTCTCAAAACTGGGGTTGGGGATTCTTTTAAGATGACACATCGAGCTTCTTTTGGTTTTGCAGACAATGTGACAGAAGTGATTTTCAGGACAGTTTGCATGAGGCAACGTCGGGAGTTTAACTAACAGATTTCAGAAGCATACTCCTACTGCAAGGAGGTTTGGAAGAGTTTGCCAAAGGCAGACAAAATGAGCATCAGGGCTGTCATCATGGGTAGACTGGAAAGGAATACACCCCTATTAGTCAATATGTACTCACAGAACAACAAGGAAATATTTACTCAGCACCAGGGGACAGCTTTAGAAACAGCACCAAGTGAACCCTTAAAATACGTTTTGAGAGTTGAAGACTAGGAAGACATTTTGCTTGCGAGTAAAAGCACGACACTCTTTCTTTTACTTCATTGAAATGACAACTTGAACTGCAGACAAGAATCCGACCACTGGGGAAGCAAAACCTCTAACAGACAAGCTCCTTTCACACTCACGTTGCTTCGGATGCTCTCTCTACATCCTAGATGAGGTTTAGCATCGCTGTTCTGAGGTTAACTTGATGACTGCAGTTCCCTTGAAGGCCTCCCAGCAGGACTTTGTGATTGCTTCCAACTCAAACAAACAGATCGCTGCAACCTACATCAACAGGATTAAATTACACTGGCCATGTCCACATTCTTTACCTCGTCTCCTTGTTAACCAGCACTCTGACTAAGTGTACTTTCTTCTCTGAAGACTCTAACAGTAACGGGTCCTAACTATGCCAGCGGTCACTGTAAGCTTTTGGACAGAGGAAAGCAAAGCATCTGGAAGGAAAAAACAAGTCAAAGGTTTACCAGTATCGTGTGAAATGGGTTCAGTCTTCTGTTACCGTTGTCTTGGGCTCACAATTTGCTTGCCCATTGGTATGAGTTGTTACACTGAAAACATGGAAGTCAGAGATGAAATCTCCCATGGCAGAGAAAAACGGAGAACTTTTACAAGACAATCACACCTGTTTCAATTTACTGACAGGAGCCTTTACTTGTCAGTAGATGCTTCAGGAAAGAGTGAAAAAAAACTACATTCAAAGAACAAGTCCAATGGGTAACACATTAGATGACCCACAGAAGTCTGATCACAAACTCTGCTCCTCACAGCACAGTCCCATGGCGTTGAGCAAAAGCCTGAAACACCTTTCCCACCTAACCTGGAACTCAGAAGTACCTTACGTAAAATAAAAAAAAATAAAAGACAAATTAAAGGCAATTAACTACTCGTGAACGTTTTAAATACGTTACAAAAGAGAAACCACAACCAACTTCAGCACATTCTTTGAATGCTTTTGATTTCTTAATATATAAAAATATATATACACACATGTGTATGTCTGTATCTATATATAGACATACAGATACACATATATACCTAAACACATACGTTGAGCTCTACTGAGTATAGCTGAAAATTACACATGCCAGAATTCTCAGTGCTTTGGACCGATCGAGCAGCAAACCAACTCCCCCAAACAACCACAGGCAAATAAACCCACCCTGAGGAGAGCAGGTAGTTGCTTTCTAGGCCATGACACTTGTAGTGCAGGATTTTCAAAAGCAGCTGAGCACCCCACCACCACCTCCTAGAACAACAACGTCCAGACAGGTGATTATAAACCACCTCTAAGATTACCAGCCATTACCAACCAACTTTCCAAACGAGTCTGGTGTGCACCATTCTCTGTGCCCTTCTAACAAGACCAGGAGGAGAGAACACTGAGTTTTTATAGCTATGAAAAGAAAAAAAAAAAAAACTCAACTGGAGCTGAACAAAAGCACTCAGAAAATCTGCATATATTCACAGGTGAATACCTGTCCTCAAGAACTCAGTACTGTGGTCTTTATTCTGAAGCTCTTCTAAAATGATCACTCTTTACCCCTTTCTGTTGTCTGTTCTTACCTCTACTAGTTACACTGATAATTCTGGAATTAAATAAATTTTTATCTATTAATTCCACAACTCATACTCCCCCAGCAAAGAAGGTATGTTCCCTACACGACTGACATATTAAAAAGGTGGTGGAGGCAGGTTAATACAAGCAGAGTTTGAGGTTGGCAGAAAAATGGAACTCTTGTGGTCAGCAAAAAATGAAAAAAATACTTAAGGCAGGTAAGTTTGCTCTCAGTTTCTGCGAGCTCTCAATCCAATCAGAAAGTCTCCAATTCATATTATCCAAGGAATCCTAAAGCAAGAGATATTTATTATGAAGCGAAGGAGGGATGGAACGACATTTGTTTGCTGGTATTTTCCCCTGCTTTCTTCCACGACACTTATAAAGTATGATTATTTGATTTGGAGTTCATGCTAGGAAGCAAAACTTCCTCTAACACAATGCATGCATCTCACCTGAGCCAAAACAACACGATTTTGCAGGAGTCTTACTGGTTTGGGTTTGGTTTTTTGCCTTTTAAGTCAAAAGTTGCTACACAGCTAAGGGACACAGATGAGAATGAGCCAGTGGAGGCCATAACGAAGAAGAGAGATGCTCTTTCTAATCTTGTTCTGCTTTCTGCCCTCTGTGACCCTAAGTTAGATCTTTGTCTAACTTCTTTTTTTATTTAAGCAGCTTGCCTTGCCTAGGAATCTGCCATCAGTCTATTTCAGCCTCTCATCATAACCCTCCTGTTTGACACTTGCTCCCCATGTCCTACCCGGTAATTTTCAGTCCCTTACAGAACTTAAAGTTTTTTTTCCACTGAAGGTGTGCAAAACTTTAAAAATAGACAATAGCTCACCCCCACCACAAAGCAGCCCATTCAGTGGCATCAAATTGCCGTCACTTAATACCAGGCCTTATCTTGACACAGAGAGGAGTTTATTCCTTTCATTGTTGCAACTACCTTTTTACATATTTAAAAGACTTATGACTCCCCAGAGTCTCACCCCCTCTAGGCTAAAAGCAACCCCCTTTTCTTCAGCCATCCTTCTACGCCTCAGTACCTAGAACTGCAATTTCTCACTTCTTTAGTCAAGGTGGATTTTTCTCCCCAAAGCAACGCTTCATTCAGTGTTAGAGGACAGAGGAGAGACACATCACATGTTTTTGAAGTTAAAAGAAAACACTCAACCTTGGAAAAACCCTAGACTTCCTCTGAAACGGCATCATTCTTCAACGCTTTTAGAGAGCAGCACTGCATCTGTTCTGGAAGTAACTGGACAGCCTGCCTTTCAGCTGGAAACAGAGCCTCGATTGAATCGCCACAGAGAGGCTAAGAGAAACCACAAATGTGTGAGGACACAGAAGTCCTGCGCTGGGAAAAGCAAGAATTCCTAGCACAACTACACCGTTAGTTACGCAGGAGTCAAAAGACAGCCTAGGGCCACAGATGAATCAATAAAATTTAGTTAGGTTTAATGGGAAGTGTTTATTTCAGTCCTAAACAGCACTGAAAAAAATATTATAGTGCTTTTTCAGCAGCAGCTCAAGTGGCAGGTTATAAGTTATAACAACATAGCTGACATTAGAAAATTACACTCAAAAAAACCCCCACAGTCAACTACTTGTTTCAGATTCCTCGCTTTTACTGAGCTGCTGTAGATTACAGAAGTTGTTAAGTGAGCTATATAACCCAGCCCACTTGCCATATGTCCCTTTCAAATTATTCAGCGTGCTGGATTGCTGGAAAAGGTCTCATCTGAGAGGCACAACCTTCTTTCACGGGCAGGAAGTCAAGGGGAACAAGAAGGGTCCTACCTGCTTCCCCTCTACCACAGGTTACCATTTACTCCAGAGAAGGTACCAAACAGTAAGACAACGCCTGTCCCATCTTGTTCCCCTGCTCAAAGAACAGCCAACAAAATAACACCAAAGAACCTGACACATACATTAAAAGCAGGACCTGATGTTCAGGAACACATACAACCTACGTCAATAAATAACTAGTTTTCAGTCCGAACCCAAAGCATTGTCCTAGGTGATTTTACAGAACCACAGCAGTTGTTTCTATTCTATGGGCCACGACATTGTTTGCAACCGGTAGCAATCACCAGTTTTATGCTCCTTACAGACTGCTGCTTCATTGCAACTTACAGAATCTTCTGGAGGTCTCTGAATCTTCCCCCAGTCCACAGAAGGTCCCTTTTCTTGTAGGAATCTATGAAATAGCTTCTTAAATCCTTCCAGGTCCTTTTTAGTGTGCTACAAAGAAGAAATGCATTAGTTACTGTGGTATTTAATGCATACCTATTCAATCACAGAAGCATTTCTACAAACTTGAAGTGCAATCTATTCAAGAGTAATTTTATCAGCACTGAAGTAGAGACATGCTAAAATTTAAGTAAAAGGTACCAAAAGCTCATTTCAACTAAAATTAAAGGTACAAAACCAACTTGGATACCTAAAAGACAAGTCTTCAGTCAAAACTGTAACTATTGGATTTTAGCCCAATCTTTAGGATTACAGCTTTACCTTCCCTTTTTGTAATCCATTAAAGATTACATAGAACCTTTAATAACTAAAGATGATTAAACACTTACTTAATAACAACTCTGTCACCCAGTTTATATGGAACTCAAAGTCTCCTACTGACATTGTATCCAAGCTACTCTTCCACATAGGATTAGTGCATGTCCTAAAAACAAGGATCATGGTATTCTGTGATTTGTCTCCCTCTATAATTTGCTTCAATTTCCTGCACCTAATTTTGCATGCTTTGAGAGGCACCCACATCATGCCCCTTACCTCTAGCTCATTTGAAGGTGCAGTAGCAAGTATCTTGTCAAGTTCTACTTTCATGGAATACTCCAGCTCTTGCCGAATGACTTCCTGAAACTGTGAAGTGCCAGCTTGAGACATTGCTTTGCTGAAATCTTAAATAAAAATAAAAGCACGAGTTAGAAGAAAAAGAAGAAAAATAGCTTATTTAGACTACAAACAGCCTTCAATTTTCTTTTAAAAATTAATAAACTCATATAATCATTGTATTACCGTGCTAGTGCCCCAGGAATCTAAAGGTTTTACTGGAGAAGAGACCTTAAATTGGGGTCACACAACAACCACCCTTCTCTCAAAACTCAAAAAAAGTCTCAAAAGGCCAGTGGTCCATCTCAAGCAATGCCTGAAAATCCACAGTACACTTTTTTGCCAGCCAGCCAAAGAATTCACATCCTACTGCATCGACACACTTTAGCGAGTAAAAGTGTGAAACGGCTTTTCACTAAAAAAGTTCCCTTATCTGGAACATTGTGATTGAGGTTACCCTTCTGTTCACACAAGCAAACAAAAGCATATGCTTTAATTATTTATACAGTGCACTTTCACACGATCTTCATTTTGCTCCAGTAAATATTCCCTTACTTTATCTTGTGAGTATTTTCACACTACAGCACGCATTGCAGTTACTAAGCAACCTAGAAAATTAGTCTGTCTATCACTTCAGCATTTGTTTTGTTTTTGAAAGGGATAAGCTCCATAAAAGTGAAAAAGAGTAAATACACAAATGTTCTATACAGTGAAGTCCACATCGCAGAAAGAATTGGGAGATAACATGACTATTTTCCATCAGATCGCATTTGAAGCGAACGTGTTCTCAAAAGACATTCTGAGTATGTTCTCTAAAGACCTCAGTTAATTTAATTTCTGCCAAATTCCTTGAGGAGTCACTTCTCTGTAACACAGAGAGTGATATATTGCCAAATATAGCCGGATTTTAGAAACACCCCGAATACTAGTGCAAAAAGGGAGAGGAGAAAACTTTGCAAGAGATCAGAGCGGTACTGCCAGAAAATTTGTTAGAAGATGGACCTGTGTTTAAAGTTTACTTATTTACAACAAGCCTTAAAAGGCCATTCTATTGACAATGTCTAAGAAAGCCAGAGGCAGTTCATTTTAATACAGTTTTTTTTTGTTTCATTTTATTCTTTTAAGCAAAGTATTCCGCAGCCTCAGACTCAGTGACAGTATCTAATCCTTGCTTTGAAGCCCACAGAAGCCATTTTCCTGACTGCACTGTTTTGCAGGTAGGGGAGAAAGAAAAAAAAAAAAAAAAAAAAAAAAAAAAAAAGGGGCTGTGAGCAGTGGGAGGAAAAACAGGAAATGAGACCATGAATCAAATCTGGTCTTGGAGATGACAGTCAGGCTGGCTACAAATTCTGCAGCTCACTTGCTACTGACGGGACCCACACCGGTCAGATAAAAGTATATCAACATAAATAATCACGGAAAAAAAAAAAAAAAAAAAAAAAAAAAAAAAAAAGGACAGACAAGTGCTGCAGTGCACATACTGTGTGTCGTGCAACACAAGGGAAACACCAGCTCAAGATGAACAGTGCCACGTACAATAGGTCCTTTTTTTGTTTGTTTGTTTTTAAATCAAATGCTTCATTTAGTAGTAAAAACAGGTAAAAGCTGAAAGCCTGTTAGGCGTTATCTTTCCAGGTCAAATACGTAAAAACCCAGACGGTTCTTCACAAGAAGCATTTCCTCCTACAGGAAAACCAGGAGCTCTGTACCAGCTTAATACTTTCATCCTGAAAGGGCTACAAGGGCTGCCTCTTCCTTCCCACATTTTGGGTTGACGCGTACCCAAACCCTGCTTCAACTTCCAGAGAAACAACTGCCAGGGGATGCTTTCAGACATTTGTAATCCTCCCTCTGCAACATGTTGTAATACGGCAACAAGAGTGGCCATTTCTCACAGCTCATCAGCCCCTTACAACACACCGACCTCCCGATATGACGCAACGCATCTCAGAAGAAACTGTGAATTTCAAGCACTCAACAGAGCCCGTCACTCGTCCTGTTAAACACATTTCGGCCAGATAAGGCAGGGCCAGCCAGCAACTCTCCCAAGCTGCCATGCAAGTAGGAAAAGCTTGTTCGCTCGCATTAGCCAAAAGACTTGTATCTTACCAGGCAAAAGAATTTAGAGACTAAGTAACATCACGAACAAATCAAAAGGAAAAGGCGCCGTAGAAGTCAATGCATGGTGATGTCCTAGCTCGCTGGGGTTTTTTTTTATACTACTACAAATTCTCCACGACTTCACGAGCGAGCGCTAAATGCATTTGATCCCCAGAGTCCTCGCAGAGAAGCAAAGCAAACCTGGGTGGCTTTTTGTCCCCCCAAACACCACATGCCAGGCGGTGAGATGGGCCGTTTCCCACCCAAAACCAGACCACCAGAGCTACCAGTGCTGATGGCTGCACCCTTCACTGGCAACACAGAATATTTCGGCTTTACATTGATAATTTAACAACTTGCTCTCGTCCAGATTCAGCACGCCAGGGCACGGTTGCTTGGGAAGAGTATTATTAGTGCTATTAGTACTATTATTATTATTATTATTATTATTATTATTGGGAAAGAGAGAGGAGGGACATGGCAGAAGTCCATAAAAACATGGATTTGCCTGGCGAGGGAAAAGTATCTACTTTACATATGGAAGAATTTAAATACTGTAACTAAGCAGCAAAGAGAAAGAGCAACTCAAAGCTTTTCTGCTTTTAACATGCTGTTGCAAGGCAGGGGCTTCTAAGCATTTATCTGAAGAGATGCCCACCAGGATTTGGAGTGGATGGGGATCTCTGGGACTCTCTAAAGGCTCCCCAAAGACCGCAACAGCAGCATGGGCACAGCCCCTCCAAACAGAAATTAACTCAGCACCAGCTGGTCCTGTGTTGCTGCCACTCAGTTTTGGGGAAGAAGCTGGTATTTACGCTCTCCAGCCTACCACTAGCAGAAAGAGAACTGCCATCCTTCAACACAGGCTACTGTTAAATTTAACAGCCCAGGTGAAGGTTTAATTCCCCTTTCACCCCAGCAGCAGTTGGGATGTAGAAAGGCCAGTGCAACTGTGTATCTGAAAGCAGTTATTTCCTACAGGCAAGTCAAATTTCCGAAGGTTGTAATGAGAAGTTGTTGCTGCGCCTCTAAAAATCAGATAGGAGGCAGGGGTGTTGGGATAACTGCGGGAAGAGATTTCTAAAGGTGCACGCGGCCATAAACTCCCAAATAATTTTTAGCAAGAAATGCCTCTTCCAAGCTATTTCATAACCAGTGTCACAGATTTCAGCTTAAACCCACTTTTATGGGATCAATATGCTCGAACACTCATCTAAAGGAAGAAATGGGTGGGATAAGGTGGAAGATAAGGGTGGGATAAGTGGAAGAGTCCTGGGGGACCGGCCCACACGGGAAATTAGCACAAAGCACGACTAAATAGTTAAGGCTTCAGAAAATACTGGGCTTTGCAAAAATGACCACACAGGATATCTTATTTCAATGTCTTCAGTAGAAAGCGCTTCTCCAGTTAACAGAGAAATGAGAGCTCTTTAATCAAGTTTATGGCAGTGTCTGACACGTGGAGAGTTTCACCCAAGCCCTCCTGCCCCCACTGTTTTTTCTAGCACGCTTTTGTGCTCGGCTCTCACTGCTAACCTGCCCCCTGCCCTCGCAGCACGAGCTACAGCATATGGCAGAGAAGGGGCAGGTTTATGACACGGAACTTTATAACTGGCAGGCGAAAGAACAAAATACAACAAATCAGATCGAGCTAATAAAAAGGAGGTCTTCCTACACCACCAGAACCAAAATAAGGGACCAGTGTCCTCAGGGAAACTGCACAGGGACAGAAGTGACTCCTTACTGAGGGGTTTGCACGGATTTCCTTTCTGCCAGCCCTCCCTCTTATTCTACATTAAAAGTAGAGAACACATTAAGATTGATTAGTTTTGCTCATGAATTCACTCAGAGGAGAACTTCACTGCCTCAGCAGTCAGTATACAAGGACCCAGCACAGGAGGGAGTTGTGGGACAAGCCAAGCAAGAAGTCCCCTCTCTTACAAAAAAACTGGGAACCTTTCGGGCTGAGGGTTATGAATTGTAATTACTTTTGCAACCCCAAGTAACATACAACAAAGACGTACAGCAGAAAATTATTTAGGTCTCCTTGGAGCCAGACTGCTGTTACAAAGCCCCAAGGAGGGTGGGTCAGTAAGTTAAAACACGCGGCTGAACTTTAAATGCTCTATCCTTGAACTCTGTGCTGAGGGTAGAGCGCGAATGCCTTAACTTCCACCAACTCTGCTGAAAGTTCAAGGCAATTTTTATCCCTGACAAGGATAAAAATCTCTTTTAAATACCCACAGTACGATGCGCAACACTAAGAAATATGACTTCGTCTGATTTTTAGGACTGAACATACCTAGACTTTACAAACGTTTTTCTTTTCCTACTACTTGAGGCAAAATTTGTCAACCTCTGTTGGACTGAAGCATAGGTGAAGTGAAACTTATACACCCTCTCTCTCTCTCCTTAACGGGTGAGCACGTCAGCCTGAACTAACTCAGAAGTTTTTTAACCTAAGAAGCCATCCTTGCCAGCTGTGTGCACCAAGAGTTTAGGTATTACGGTCAGACACAGCTGGATTTCTCAGTCTAGCAGCTGATCCTCACGCTAAAAATATCACTTGACATTGGCAACATGCTTTAGTACTACTGGCATGATAAAAGAGCATTCAAACGGTGGATACTTTTTTTTTTAAAAAAAAAAAAAAAGCTTTTAGGATTGTCAAATCCTTGGTAATATTTTAAAACCCGGTTATGATCTCCACGTGGGTTTTTCCACCTTTCAGTTTCATAAAAAAATATCACTTGGCTGCAAGATGGCTACCTTCAGCAGTAGGCTGAGATAAGCCAATCCTGTTTAAAAAAAAAAATGAACAATTCAGAAGGTATTTTCATACTGTATTTCACAACAAGAAGGGGCCGATCCCGGTAACTTTCAGAGCGGCCGGTTGAGCGGCGTGGCCGTCACACTTTCTCTCCCACCACCCCTCCAGCTCCCTGCATTTCGCCCGGGCTCCACAGGACATTTGCAGACAGTTGATGCGTTCACACAGCAAGTGTGGCACGGTCCTGGGTGAGCAACAGCGATTTCCCAAAGCCCACGAAAGGCCCTCGCTCTCCTGCGATGTCCGAGTCCATACACCAAAAGACCTACTCGTATTCCTTCTACAAGCACTGGTTGTGAGAGGCCTGCATGGATTTATACGGAGGAGAACTACAGGCACAGATTTCGCTCCCAAAAAGCACACACGCACCACTAGGAATATCGCGAAGGAAGGAAAGAAAACTGCCACAGCAATGCAGCAAAGTAATTTTTCTTCCCAAACTGACCTCTTGTGGGCTGGTTCCCTGTTTCGCAACGAAGGGATCCGAAACTCAGACCACGTACACACACACACACGCTCACACATGCAGAGAGTAAAGGAGAGTGCCGGAGCCTATCAGGATCAAAAAACACCAACATACACTCAAGCCTGTGGAAAAATAAAAGTGGGGAGGCTCCACCTCAGGGCTGCTTCTCCCCCAACATTAACAGACCTCTCAGTGAAAGGGAGTGGGGGGGAAGATTTGCACTCGCAAGATCCCCCCGCGTACTCCAGATCAGCCGTGGGTAGAGCCCTGCCGCTACAACCACCCGGTGCCACCGGGCACCGGAGAGACGTGCATCCACCCAGGTAAGAGCAGGACCGGCAGAGGCCCCGCTGCCAAATAACAGAGGAAGCCTTAAGGCTGCTGGAAAGGAGGAAAAAAAAAAACAAAACAAAAACCAAAAAAACCCCAAAACAAATAAAAAACAACCAATCAAAAAAAAAAAAAAGACATCTACGCATATACAGCTGGAGAGTCGATAAAAAAATAATAAATTACAAACCGCGTCAGCTTACCTTTCGCAAAAGACGACATTTTCGCTCTTTAATAAAATAAACCACTTTACTCTAATAAAGACAGCCTGACTTATTTCGGCTGGTTTTACCCCCGGGCTGGGGAAGGAAGGAGGGCAGGCTGCCGCCGAGCGGCGGGGAGGGATGGAAGGGGAAAGAGAGAGAGACACAGAGAGAGAGAGAGGGAGAGGGAGAGGGGGAGAGAGAGAGAGAGAGAGAGAGAGAGAGAGAGAGAGAGAGAGAGAGAGACGGCGGCCCCGGCCCCGCTGGCCCCTCCGCCGAGCAGTCAGTCAGTCAGTCCCTCCCGGGCCGGCGGGCGGGAGGCAAAAAAAAAAAAAAAAAAAAAAAAAAAAAAAAAGAGAGAGAGAGAAAAAAGGATGAAAAGAAAGAAAAAAGCTCCCAACATAAACTCTGA